GAATACGCTATCCCATATCATTTTATTATACAAATTCGACGTTTCATGAAATAGCTGTATATTTCTTTGTATCCTTGAAGGCATGATCCCTGTATTTCGTTTATTCATCCATATATTCATTATGACTAACGTTTACCTAGTTTAGTCTGTCGGTGTGTCCAAGAGCAAACACAGGAAAACCATAAAATAAATCAAAGTAAATAATCACAAATAGCGACTATCTACAGAAAATTTGTCAGTATCAATGAACCAGAACACAWTGAAGATGAATCCACATCAGACAATTTTTAATTCATYTTRCGTTCTGGTTGCGTTTTGTCTCCAAATAGCCGCTATTTGTTAGTATTTAGTTTGGTTTTATTTCATGGTTTTCCTGCATTTGCTCTAGAACATTGAATARGTGCGTTTCAAAGTGTGAATGTCTTTTGAAGAAAAWAGTTCGAAGGTCTATCCGACTCCTGGAAATTTTATTTCCTCTGATTATTCATTGATATTGATTTTTATTGATTTTTATTTTTTCTTTTACCTCCCCTTCTTTCTCCCTTCCTTTCATCATTTATTTAGTAATTTCCCTCTTCATTCACCCTTCTTTTTTCATTTCATTTTTTTAATTGATTTTATAGAAAAGCCTTCAAGGAATTTTACCACGAGTTCCTGGACTGTCAGGGTCCCATGTGAGGTTGTTTTGGCTTGACATTCGGTACAAGTGAATCAAAAGTATCGGAATACAACACTGTATAATATACAAATCAATATTCAGTTTATTATCTAAATCACGTCCAGTGTGAACAAAAGTATACTTCATTCATAAGATAAACTCATTCACTAATAAAGAATAAACAGTATAAAATCAATAATTATCAATAATTAACTTCAAAACTCATCAATAACTAAATTTATAACTCATTTACAAGAACTAGATAAAGTTTGTATTACTGCATCCAATGAAGTCATTTTTTAAAAAGGCGCAAATAAAAATCACCAATAATCTCCTATCGAAAATAATGATGTGGTTGTATCATTGTTGTCAGTTTCGGCCCTACATAGATTGATAAAAGGGCCATGGTTAACCGGCATACAGTGCGGTCGTGTTTTAGACTTTTCATATAAGGAAATTGTGGTGACTTCAAATATCCATTCGTAATCTGTTTCCATTTATCGATTTCAAGGTCGAATCTTACAGTATCTCCATTCATAGAGCATAAAGGGATAATGAAGAATAAGTTTTTAATTTTTTAGTTTCAAAACAAAAACGAAAGCTCGAAAGGGATGCCGGTCGAACATGGCCCTTTTATTTCAGCATAGCGTTAATTTCAACTGCAAATGATCATAGTTCCTTTTCCCATTCACTAACCAAGTAGGCGACCTATATTATTTGACAGCAAGCTCTCTTGAGCGTCTGGATGGAGTTACTGACAATTAACATGGCTGAGAACTACAAACAGATGCCTCCAAAATTTTTCTAGCGAATTCCATTTTATCAGAAAATATATGGCGTCATTTTGAACTATCATTTTGCGTTTACTGATAACTGATGAACTTACTTAAAAAACTGACATTGAGATGCCCATGACAATCCAGATTCCTCTCTCTTAAGCCAAGACCGACAACCGCAAATAACAAGCAAACAAATAAAAAAAAGAAAGAAAAGAAAGCATTGAAAAAAACGTCATATGGTGACCATAAAGTTCTAAATTTTTCAACCTATAACTGCCAAAAAATGTCTTTTTATAAAAAGTTCTACAACTTTTCAGCAAAATCATACGTTTTGATTGGTTGGCTTTCGTGTGTTATCAAAGTATAGATAAACGGATTACGTCAAACTGTCAAATGAAAAAATAGTTACAAAAACCCTGCCCGCTTTTAGCTTGCAATAAAACTATTGTCTGTTGTATTAAACAGATAAATCTCATTTTTCCGTGTGCATGTACTCTAATAGATACAAAAATGACTTCAAAATGTAGTGAGAACAACAGTCACTTTTTTGATCTCACTACATTTTGACGTCGTATCTATAAGAGTACACACACACGGAAAAATGAGATCTATTTGTTAACTATAAATCATCAAAGTAATATAACAAAGACATAAATGAT